ACAAAGCATGTCAAATTGCCCACATTGGCAGGTATTCATGTAAACACTGTTTGTATGTCTTAATTGAATGTGATCAGATGAGAAAGAAAACACACGTGTAACAGTATACAGTAACAATATACTGTATATATTTAACACACGTACACAGTGCCCTCCACAATTATGGCACCCATGTTTAAGATGTGGTCAAGGACTTCTAAAAATTCTCCTTTTTTTAAACAACATTGAACCCAAATGCAAAAAAGGGGAAAAATCCAACCTTTTATTTAAGTACATTACTTTGGTGGTAAAAAAAACCAAAAAAAAAAAAAAAAAAAAACCTTGAAATCATGTGTCCCACAATTATTGGCACCCCTGATGTTAATACTTTGTACAACCCCCTTTTGCCAACAAGACAGCACTTAATCTCCTCCTGTAACATTTCACAAGATTGGAGAACACAGAGAGGGATCTTTGTCCATTCTTCTTTGCTCAATCTTTCTAGATCATCCGGGTCCTCTCTTATGCACTCTCCTCTTTAGCTCGCCCCACAGGTATTCCATTGGATTGAGGTCTGGGGACTGAGATGGCCATGGAAGGACCTTGAGTTTGTGACTGCTGAACCATTTTTGTGTAGATTTTGCCACATGTTTTGGATCATTATCCTGCTGAAAGACCCAATGACGACCCATCTTCAGCTTTCTGGCAGAGGCCATCGGGTTTTTATTTAAAATGTTCTAGTAGTTCAAAGTGTTCATAATGCCATGCACCCTAACAAGGTTCCCAGGGCCTTTGGAAGAGAAACAGGCCCACAGCATCACAGATCCTCCACCATACTTCACGGTGGGTATGAGGTGCTTTTCGGCATTCTCATCTTTTATTTTACACCAGACCCACTTAGAGTGTTTGTTGCCAAAAAGCTCAATCTTAGTCTCATCTGACCAAAGCACACGATCCCAGATGAAGTCCCAGTGCCGCTTGGCAAACTCCAGACGTTTACGTTTGTCAGTGTTAGTGAGAAAAGGCTTTTTCCTAGCATGCCTCCCAAACAGCTTGTTGGCATCTAGAGAGCATCTGATGCTTGTTTTGGAGACTTTGTGACCCCAAGATGCCACTATTTGATGCAAATCTGTGACAGTGAGCTTAGGACTTTTTATTTACTTCTCTTAGCATCCTCCTCACTGTGCGTTGTGGCAAGAAAAACTTGGGACCTCTTCCAGCCTTGTTTGTCACTGTTCCAGTTGTTTTAAACTTCTTAATGATCCCTCTAACTGGGCAAGTTTAGGCGAAAGGCTATTTTCTTGTAGCCATTGCCTGACTTATGAAGGTCGACACACATCTGCCTTACTTGAATGTTGTGTTCTCTCGTCTTTGCCATGTTGACAAATGAGTAAGAGAATTAGGCCTCTGTGTCACGTTATACCCCAGGGAAAGAGGAAGTCATGAATTACTAATTAAAGTTCCTAGATATCCTGAACAACTTTAGCAACTACAGAAAAATATATTTAAAAAAAATAATCAACTACATTTTTCAGTGGAATTGTTAGGGGTTATCAATAATTGTGGGACACATGATTTCAAGGGTTTTTTTTTTTTTCTAAATTTTCAAATTTTCGATTTTATCACCAAAGTAATGTACTTAACTAAAAGGTTGGATTTTTCTCTTATTGCATTTGTGTTTTATGTTGTTTATAAAAAGGAGAATTTTTAGAAGTCTTCAACCACATCTTAAACAGGGGTGCCAATAATTGTGGAGGGCACTGTATGTCTATATACAGTACGTTTATAAATGTGTATATACAAATATATATATATATATATATATATATATATATATATATATGTATATATGTGTCTTTGTGTGACCGCTTGCACCTCAACTAATGCAAGAAAACAAACAAAGTGCCTATTATCAACTGCAGCTTTGGGTCCAAGCACCATGCATTTACAGACGCTACCTTGATCTAAATAAGATGCACATGGTTTTGTAAGAAAGGGCAGTTTATTAGTCCCAGAGAAAAAAACTAAGTATTCTTAAATTTTTCATTTTTAAAGTCCTTTTTGTATTTCTGCTGCATTCAGCTGCAGATTTTAACTTAGCACGGAGAACAATGGCTATGCAGTATATCTTAAATATTTCAATGCACTTTGCACTTGAGCAATAAGATTAAATTTTCATTCTCGCAGACCCATTTTGTCCTGTAAGGAATGCTGACACAAAACGTGAATTATAAAATTATAAGTAGTCATTTTAGTTCAATTTTTTTGCACAAATGTAGCAAAAGTGGAGCAGATTTAAGTGAGCTGATGTCATGGATCAAGCAAATCTTCAAAGTGTTGGGTCATAAATGCAGTAATGCTCACTGCTACATGCTTAAGACATGCATAAAGATGTGACTCTTAAGCTGAGATTTACCAGATTTAGCGCCTCAAAGGTGTTAGACTTGGCTAGTATAGATGCATCTGAGTGTTATATAAGCTTGTTTTTGAATATTTCTAAATATGCTAAATTAATGCTCATTGTTCAAAACATTTCTCACAATCTTATTGTGGTTCAGGACTACAGACAAACTCGTTTTCTTTTTAAGTTATAAATAAACATTATTAAAAACATTATTAAATATGAAATCAATAATTTTGGGGATTACATCACATAATCCAGCAAGGATAGAGGTCCTTAATTGTTGAGATCTTGAGACTTGCATTCCTATTCACTCTGTCTCACATAATCACATGGGAAGGGTGCATTATTATTATTTAATGTGGCCTTTGGATACTGACAACCACTGTTAATTATACAGAATGTCACATAACACCAGTCAGGAGCTGTTGCAAGACACGACATGTTAAAGTGACATCCAAGGACTAAAGAAACTACAAATTAAGTGTTAAAGAGAATTACAGTGTTAACGTTTGTTCTTTTTGACTCCGTTTAGAGTGATATGAATGAGAAACCCTGAAGGCTGAATGATCAATTGGTGAGCATTTGACAAGTAGCCTTATTGTGTATTCACTATTGGCCATATCTTGTCCCTTGACTCACACCTTTTTTGGCCTTTTGTATTTAATTTTGTTTGGTCTTGAGCATGCGTACTAAATGTGCATCTCAGAGGGCATTCAATTCAATGCTCTTTTATATGAAATTATGGCTACAGTATTACATCTTTAGAAAGCTGTAGTCTTAATACTGCAGCTTATGTTTTCCTAGTTAAATCATTAATATACAATCAAAAAGCGATATCTTAACTTGACTATAATAAGCAATATCTTAACTGAAGGAACTAAAGAACTGAAGAATCCTCGACTGCGATCGGTAAAATACCGGAAGTGGCGTATTCCACGGACGACAATCCATGAACCGCATTATTAGACCGTTTTCTAAGGCTGCATGGTGTATTAAAACCATTAAAAAAACTTACTATAGCATTGTGCTATTCACAAAGGCAGATTTAGGGAAAAGCATTTATAAAATACGGCAAAACAAGGAGAATACATCAATATCTTTCTATATATGCGACTAAAATTAAAAATTAAAATAAAAGTTTAAACCCTCGCTCTGAGTTAGCATGTTTTGATGTCCACATATTCTTGTTAGATAAATTAGTGGCTTTCGCATTTCTATCATAAAGAGTGGTCAAATATTAAAGATTAAGTTAACATTTCAATTAAATATTGTGTTAGGTTCTGCTAACCCTCTAGGGGTCGGGAGGGGAGGTAACAAAGGGAAAAGCGTAAAATAAAAAAAAGTGGAGGCAAGAACACTTCAGTCCTCTGCCCCAGAGTGAAGACGATACCAGATGATATATAAATAAAAGAAAGGATTTTATTTACAAAAAAGAAAAAAGAAAATACTTAAAAAAAGGACAGAACATAGGTTACTAGGGAGCAATGGCTAGGTTACTAGGGAGCAATGGCTCAGGCCTAAAATTACGAACAAAACAGCCCACTAACTAATTTTGGGAGGAGTCTTAACTATAAGAAAGGTTAAACAAAAGTAAATAAACAACAACTTCCCTCAACTCCCTTGTTACACAAAAACAAGGACAAAAGCAGTATTAAGAAAAAAAGGCACTCACCCCCTCACAATAGTAACTATTAAACATGTTAATAGGCTGTATGTAGAGGGGTTTTTTCACCACAAGAGGGCACAGTTTCCAGCAATAACAAAGGTGTATGTTTATGACGCAGTGATGAGCTGAATGATGGGACTTGCTTTGATAAGCTGATAAAGACACAAAAGCTGTGTTTACATTTAAGTTTTCACAGTTAGTGTTGCACATGTAAGCAGCTTTCTCTACAGTGAACGAGATTCTACATATATCAACATATATTTCTCTCTGTCATTTAGTTTTCTTAACTTTATATAGCGACGCTGTGCTGCAGAACTGAGGATTCCCAAAATAAGTCATTCTCCAGGATTCAGGACACTTAATGCTTAATGGACTAATACAGTGATATAAAAGACCAAACGCACGCATAAACTCATGCATAAACTCACATACTATCATAGCACATTTTGTACAGAATTCAGTGTATTCAGACTTTAGCCATTAAAAGGTTATAAGCAGCACACGAAGCCACAAATGCATGTTGTCGCAGAAAAGCCAGCATCCACTTTGCCAAAACAACTTATTCTGGTTAAATATTTACTTTTTATTGATATTGCTGCCATTGCTGTCAGCTGGGTACTGACCATTTATTCATTGATTTTCATGCATTGGTACATTAGCTGTTGTGTGTTGTCACGGTTGTTGTCACGGTTTCATGGCACCCTTTTTATATATATCCAAATTGCGTGCTCATCATTCGAGCTGATGATGCACAGGCTGTCAACATGATTGCTGTGAGTTAACACTTGATTTCAGACAATTGTCACGCCTGAGGTGTTCCCCTTAGCATCATTTAAGTATTGTTGAGTTCCCTTTGAAAGGGAACATTAAAAAAGGTAATACGGTCCTGTGTTTGATCTTTGAAAAAAGACTCTCTAAGCATTTATATTACTGTTTTTTTTTTTCTTGCAGTACGAGTTCAAGGCAAAGAGCGTGAAAAAGAAGAAAGTGAGCATAGGGGTTTCTGTAGACGGGGTCAAAGTGGTGCTGCGCAAGAAACCCAAGGCATGTGTCATTACACCTATACACCTTTGACATCACACGTTGACCTTTACTGAATATCCTTATTCTGTATAACTATAGTCCTAAAAATTAGGAGTTTATTTGTTTGTTCACATGCATAACGAGACCCTGACACTTGTCTTGTTTTGACCGCCAGAGGAAAGAGTGGACGTGGGATGAGAGCAAGATGTTGGTTATGCACGACCCCATATACAGGTGAGACACAGAAAATATAACAAAATAAATTGTATTTCAACCTTATGTATTAATGTTTTGCCTGTTTTCTCCTCTTTTTTCTCAAAGGATCTTCTATGTATCCCATGATTCTCAGGATCTGAAGATATTCAGCTACATTGCTCGTGATGGATCCAGCAACTTGTTTAGATGCAATGTTTTCAAGTCCAAAAAGAAGGTAGAGTTTTCTTTCACCTGGCAAGAAAATAATTGGTATTATGTTCCTTTTTCTCTATCCCGAACTAAGGAATAATATCATGCATGCCATTTTTTCTCAGTCCGTCTTATCCTTGAGCGAAGGCCTTAACCATGAAATTCTTCACCTGTTTGTGTCTGTTGTCTCTGATTTTCCTCTCAATTGTTGCCCTTTGCTTTTTTTCATAGAACTGTAGTAGCACAGAATGAGCACTTACACAATGCACAATAAAATAATTTTATATGATAAAATCAAGAAAAGCATGTCAAAAAGTTATCCAAAATATCCTATCCAATATTTAGAAAAGAAAATATATTTTTGGTCAGTGTATTTTAGGAATATACAGTATATAAGGTTATATACTATATACATCTTGTACATATAAGATTTTCTAAATGTCTCTAAATCTCTATTCTTCACCTCCTCTCTCCACTCTCAGAGTCAAGCCATGCGGATAGTGCGGACAGTCGGTCAGGCGTTTGAGGTGTGCCATAAGCTGAGTCTGCAGCACGCTGAGCAGAATTCAGATGAGCAGCCAGACGGCCCTGCAGACGGCCAAAGTGATCAGTCTGGAGAAGAGCCCAGCCCTGAAGGTGAGACCATGCCATCACATCAGAGCATTCAATCCTTAAAACACGTCATCATAGAATAAATCAAAGCTGTGGAGCTGCGAGTACAGGATTTCGGTGCTATTTTTCATGTGATGTTTAAACGTGCCGATCGTTGTTGTAAAACTAGTTTAGTTTCATCATATTCTTAAAATGCTGCTGTTACAGGTCGTCAGCTGACAGGGATGGAACAGGGAATGGAGGATGTCATTGGAATGGAGTGCCATTCCCCAAAGCTCAGTGAGCAGGCAATGGATGACATTCTTCAGAGCCTGTCAGAACTCAACATGGTGAAACCTGGACAAACTCATCAGGTGAGATCGCTTTTTGAGCATGACTGAGTGTTTTAGCAGAAGAAAAGCCCTTGGATCATTTTTTCCCCTCAGACGTCTTTCGAGTATCGCTTGTCAGCTGGAAACAATGGCTGTTTATAAATAAAGAGAAAACCCCTTTCACCTCCTCTCTCTTCTGTTTTTTACCCCTTTTTATAAGTTCTGTGTCCTGTCTCAACCTTGTTCTTCCTTCAGGGTATTCAGTTAAACTGTTATGATGCTTCAGGCCTGCAGACTATTTTCAAAATCTTATCACTATCTGAACTGGAAACCAAATCATACAGTCTCATTGATATTTGAAAAGTAAATTAAAGTAAAACCAACATTAATTAAATTCATTTAAACACACATTTAAACAAATTATTACAGCAAATATTACCATGATGTATAATTATCTTTTTTTTTACTTAAAATAATATTTTCAGGGCTCCCCTTGAAATCCTTGAAAGTTTGTGAATCCAAAAAAAATCAAGTCCTTAAAAGTGCTTGAATTTATCTTGAATAAGTTTTCTGGAAAATAAAAAATCCATATTATTCCCTCCGGTCCACTAATGTGTTATTTCGCCAACATTTCTTGGCCTATGCATACTAGCTTGCTTGATTTACTTTAGTTACGTGCATTTACGATTTAAAGGAGTAGTTCACTTTTAAATGAAAATTAGTCTATGATTCACTTACCCTCAAGCCATCCTAGGCGTATATTACATTTTTCTTTCAGATGAGTACAATCTGAGTTATATTAATTAACATCCTAATGCAACCATTACAAGCATCAGATTGAAGCTCAAAAAAGTGCCTCCATCCATTATAAAAGAACTGCACAAGGCTCCAGGGGGGCCTTCTGTGTGTTAGAAAAATATTCATATTTAACACGCTACAATGTAAAATTGTTTCAAACAAAGTTTCCAGCCAACAAAGTTTACAGCCAAACGCAGTCTTACGCCCAAAGCGCAACTTGCGCAACTTATATAAACTTTATTTATATAACTATGATTGTATTCGTCTGAAAGAAGAAAGTCATATACACCTATGGTGGCGTCAGGGTGAGTAAATCATGGGGTAATTTTAATTTTAAAGTGAACTACTCCTTTAAGTTTTCCCACGTGAGGTACTTTGTGTTGTACATTGCCATGACGTTCACGCGCACACGAATGCCAAAAACTGACCATTCAAGATGATTTGACTGGAGGTCCTGTTCAGAAGTTCATCGAGTAAATTATACGGGAAGAGAGAGCCATTAAGGACTATTTAAATAAGGTCAAAGTTATATATTAAACAAAGTCAAACTTAAAATGGTTTGATGTTTGATATACTGAATCTCTCTGCCATTCTTTACTGAAATTCCCAGTGCAGATGGCCTGAAAGCAGGTAATGCATTCATTAATTTTACATGTATTCATTTAGCAGTAGTCCATTCATAATGTATTCATGTGTTCGTTGTCTAGCAAACATCAAAGATCCTGTGGAGATCCATTAGCTTTGTAGCTGACATTCATAACATGTGAATCTTCTGGAGGATAAATGAAGACAGAATGGGAACATTCATTGTTGTGTTTTTTTTGTGTTTTTTTTACATTTTTTATAGAGTTCCCTACTGGTATCACTCTGGGTCCGTGTATCATCCGATCATTTGATTTCCAATTTGAAATGAAATAAGCACAAATGAGAAAACTTTGTTTGTTTGTTTGTTTGTTTTCAAAATGTAAAGTTTACAGGAAAAAAAAACTTTGTTCAAAATTTGTTTTCCACATGTGGGCGGTCATGAGACACCCACTTCCACTGATTGGTCAAGTAAATCTGAGCATGTGACATCATCAGTTGTTCAGGTCTCAATGGTAATCTCCCAATTAAGATGTAATTTGTCTTTTTGAAAACCCAAACAAATCTTTAGAACCTACTGGTCACTTCCTTATCCTTGTGGCAAACTTTTACTCGCACAAACAAAAATTTCTTAAGAAAATTCCTACTTTTAAAGATTTCTTATGTGAAGTAAAATTTTTAATCAAATCACTTAGAATAATTGCTAGAAAATGTACTTCTTTTTGGAAGAAATATAGAGATGATTAATATGTTTGCTGTTTCTTTTCTTTGCCTTTTTTTTTCTTCTTTGTTTAGCACTTTCCATTTTGTGCTATGATTGTGCACGAATGAGTTTACTTGTTTAATATATACATTGTTGGAAATGTTTTATCCACATATTAAAGTGCTATAATGCATGCAAATACGCATACACACACTAATTAACTAATTCACTCTTCTCTCTTTTTGCATGACTAAGACATGGCAACGACCTGGCAACACTGACATTATTAAACAGTTAATCTGTCTATTAACATGTAATATTACAATTTATAAAATGGACAAGACTAAAATGTAAAATAGTTACTTCTCTCTATATTTTCTTAATTAAAAACATTGACTGTTGTTAAGGACTGTTGCTATCATGGGGTTGCCAGATGTCAAGAGTTTAAATCTCCCAATTAGAATTTTTGTCTTAAATATATACTATTAGAAATTTCACTGTTTTAGCTTTTGAGAGAACCATTTTGAGTTATACCAGTTTACATAATGTAGAGATTGTTCATTTTATATGACAATATTTTCTGTCAGGAAATTAGATGACTAAATGAGTAAAATAAATGTTTTAGATTTCTAAAAGATGTGTGTTTGCACTATTGCATTTTTTAAATAAAAATAAATTAATTAAAAATAATAGTACCTACTACCGCTTTTTACTGTTGAGCGCATAATAACATTAAAGGTGCAATGTGTAAAAATTTTGAGTATCTATAAACAGAAATGCAATATGGTCACATCTATGATGATAATACACAGACCACTTTGCCATCCATCTCATGGAAGATATTCCTGTGTGGACATTCCATTATGTGCATTTCTCTAGGCGTTCACTACAGAGATGGCGATTGCTGTCAAATCTATCAAATGACGGAGATAGATGTCAAATCTGTCCCTGTGAAAAATAGTTTCATGTTACTTTTACCCGAAAAAAGTAGTTATGTTACTAACGCGTTACACACAACACTGCTGCACAATGGAGATAAGTGACATTAAAAGACTGTTTCATATTGGAAGTGTTTCTTACTTTTGCAGACGTGCTACTACCTCCTCCATCCTCTGCCTTTTCCTTCTCATACCCCTGAAATTAAATCTCCAGCTCCTTCTAGTGGTTAACATTGGATGTTGCACAGAAAGAATAATTGTGCTGTTTCCTTTACTGCTTTTAGATTGAATTATGATGTGTCATGTTTGATATATAACGTATAAAGGTTTGTGTAAGGGTGTTCAAGGGTGGGGACAGAAAATATCGTTAGGTGAGAAAGTAGAGTGCGTTTTGATGTTCAAATCCTATAGGGCCATGTCTCTGTCTCACTCCCTTTTATGACAGAGAGAGTAAAGCTACTTAGAGAATATTACTTTCTGTGTGTGTGTGTGTGTGTATGTGTGTGTTTAAATGTAATTATTAGTAAATGTTCCTCTTTTTGCACTTGAGTCGACCTTTGCTTCTGTGGATCCACATATTAAAGTGCTCTTAATGCATGCAAATACACATACACGCACACAAACTAATTAACCCTTTACTCTTCTCTCTTTTTGCATGACGAAGACATGGCAACGACCAGGCAACACTGACATGATTAAACACTTACCGTGACTATTAACATGTAATATTACAATTTATAAAATGGACAAGACTAAAATGTAAAATAAAACTTAATTTCTCTATATATTATTCAATTAAAAACAAGCAGGATAGTATTATTGACTGTTGTTAAGGACAGGCGTTGCCAGGTGTCAAGAGTTTAAATCTCCCAATCAGAACTTTTGTCTTAAATATATACTATTAGGAATTTCACTGTTTTAGCTTTTGAGAGAGGCATTTTGAGTTTTACCAGTTTACATAATGTAGAGGTTGTTCATTTATATGACAATTTTCCGTCAGGAAATTAGATGACTAAATGAGTAAAATAAACCATGCGAATGAGTTGACATTGGTTTGATTTGTGGCTATAGGTGAAAGTACTGTAATTCTGATGAAATGACAGCAATCATAATTTAGAAATTAAGAAACCAAGATTTCAATATTGAGCATCCCTCCTGCTGCTGAGACCTAACCACAATCTCACAAACTCTCTGCAACCCAACCTGTTTGACTAAGGCTGTCGAGCCCTATTAGTGCGTTAATGCAGTTTCAATGGCAACGGTTCCGTATGGTATACCACCTACTGCAAAATAGGAGTGGTAGGTGGTATATATATATATACATATACATACAGTATATTTAACTTAGACTTTTAAAATAGCTGGCAAAATGAATACTATTGTAAACTGCAAAATATGATGTTTCACTTGGAAAAAATGTTTTAGAAAGCAAATAGTGTTAACTTTTTTTTTTGCTTCTCTCTCTTATTCTCATTTTTCCTCTCTCAGTCTTTACAAGACCTGGAGGGTGTCTCTCTCTACAAGCTATCCCCCGGCAGCCCTTGCTCTCCTACTCTCACACCTTTGGCCAGCCATCACCACCTGCAGTTACTCCAACAACAGCTGCTACAGCAGCAACAACAAACCCAGATCGCTGTAGCACAGGTAAGATGTTGCTTCTACCCTTTCTTGACACTAGAAGGGGCTAGAACTCCATAAAAAATGCAGCAGTTGATTTTATATTTTCAGGCATTTTCACAATCATTTGCTTTTCTCTCAGAAAACAGGTTTTCTCCACAACCCTATTTTTCTCTGTTGAAATTATTTCTGATAGCCTCTGTTAAAAAAGCTCTCACATAAGACCATATCATTCATCAAACAGGGGAACCAAAGATGAATATAAAGGAGACAGAACACAACGCTGTTATGGGCAATCACCAGGCTTCTGCCACTTCATTCATTCGCCTGTTCATTTATTTGGTCCATTTATTTGGTCCTTTTTGTTCTAATGTCCTGTGTGAGAGAGAGAAAGCTGATGTGCCCTCAGCTGTGATTCAGCACAGTCATGCTACTGCATTGCAATAGCTTGGAAAAGGAGATTGATGTGCATTCACCGCCCACCCAGAGAAAAATTATATTGCTCAGAGGTTTTTGTAAAAGTAAGAGGAATTTTAAAAGTGTGATGTCTAGACCTTGAAAAGTAATTTGATTTATTTTTTTAATTATAAATATATAAACACACACACACACACACATTATATATATATATATATATATATATATATATTTCAAATTCTGTAATATTTTATTGGAAAATTGCTATTTGTAAGTGTTACAAAATGTAAATCTTGTATTATTATTTTATTTAATTACTTGATAATATTGCCACAATTAGTTTCTGTAAATAGCAGCTTTGTCATTATAGCAGACATATTAGAAATAATTTCAAATATAATCACTGACAATAGACCTTAGAGGCAAAAAGTTTAAAGAGATCTTGATTTTTTCTTTCTATGGGCAAAAATAATGAAATCAACAAAATAAAAGTCTCTTTCATTATACAGGAAAACACTTTAGATTCCTTAAATAAATATTGATTAAGTTTAGTTGATTAAAAGTTTGATATCTGTCATTGCTTGACACACACACACACATACAACACAAGTTAGAAGTTAGAGAATCAACTCTAGGACCTTGATTACCTGATCCCTGATCTAAGATTCGTTTCATTTACCATAATCCTCAGATCATATCACATCTTTCAGTAAGACTGCCGTGATTCCCTATGGTTTTGACTGAGCGTGTCCCTGTGGTAGGTGCATCTCCTAAAGGATCAGCTGGCCGCGGAGACGGCTGCCCGCATGGAGGCGCAGGCCAGAACTCACCAGCTGCTGCTGCAGAACCGAGACTTACTGCAACATACATCTCTGCTGGTGAAACACCTCAGCCAACTGGAGGTCAGAGTCAGTGGAGCCACAGAGAGTAAGACTCACAACACTACCTATAATCCTGAGAGGACTCACTTCTATAAAGCCTTGCAAATGATCGAATAAAATTAGTCATGCTACACAAATGAAATATTTGAATATTTTGCAATAAACTAAAAATATATTGTATTTTAAATTGACAATTAATTACTGATAGTTTATAATTCTATACTTTACACGTTTGCGGTCAGTAATATTAATTAAAAAAAAAACCATTATTGATGTTATTCAACAACATATATTAAATTCATAGTGACAGTAAAGATATTTATAATTTGACTGCCGAAATATTAGCTTTATATATATATATATATATATATATATATGAGAGAAAGAGAAATTATTATTTTAATATGTCATATTATTACTGTATTTTTTTTTTATCAAAATTGAGTTGAAGGGAAGTATATTTTAATGAGAAATATAACTTTTTTGTGATTTTTGAAAAATACAATTTTGCTCTCAGTTAGTGGGCAGTCTATTGCACACCTTTACATTCATAGATGCGCACACATTGTTTTTTTTGGCAGACTGGGATGTTATTGAATTGGTTGGTGTACACTAATCTATTTCAGAGTTTAGTGCAGGAGTTTATCAGGTTTAATTCTTCAGCACTGGGCTCCTTGCCGACTCTCGCACTCTGGGAGAGAAAGAGAAAGAGAGTGTGTGTGTTTGTGTGTGTGTTTCAGAGATCCCCTACCTTGTGGGAACAAAATGTCCCCACAAAGATGGCAATATCCAAAAATCTTTTTCTTGTCGGTACACTTTTGGTCCCCTTGAGGAAAACAGCTTATAAATTATACTAAATTATGTTTTGTGTGTGTGTGCACACAAACTTATGCGTGGTGCAGTGGTGGTGGTGTACTGGCTGGTTGCTGTGACCTGTCATTAAGGCTACGTTTACACTTAGCATTAACATGGGACCACTGTGATTCAATCAAGCAGATCGGATCATTAGCCAATCAGTTTACATTTACAATTGTTCACATTTGTTTGCATTTACATTTGTTTACATTAAGTGGAGTGGGAAAAGGGTAAAGATTATACAAATTAAACAATGTCCCAATTGCTTTTCCTCACTCACTTTACTTAACTATGCAATCTCCAGTCTTAATTAAATTAAGTTTTTTAAATGAAGGAATACTTCCAGAGTTGATCGTATACAAAAATAACTAGGTTGATCATGTTAAACAAGTCACATCCTCGATCATCTGGGTTTAAGGTTATAGCCTGCAATGACTATATCTGATAGATTGATGAACATGCTGAAACAAAAACATTCAACATTTAAAATATTAAAGAAAAAATCTGATTGTGATTATTCCTCTGTCAAAGCAGAGCGCAGCTCTTCATTAAGATCTCATGACTGACTGTGATTGTACAGACGATCGCCTCGTTCAGATAATGTTGCACAATTAAAATGAAAAATGACACTCAGTATCACGTAATACAATGTTTTTTGTAAGGTTCAAATAAGTTTCATTTCTTGTCTAAACTTGCGTCTGACCATTATTTTCTGACAACCACGAGGGGAGACTGGGCGGGGATTTATATGACGTCCACCTGTGACTCGATGGCTGTATTGCGTTTACATTACATCGAGATCCGATCACAATGCGTCCTCGACTACCTCCGAACCTGGACAGGCTGATCGGATAACATTCCGATCAGAAGTGCCTTTAAACTTGTCTATTCAATGTGTATGTGAACAACATCCGGATACAGGTCGCATGTTAATGCCAAGTGTAAATGCAGCCTTTAGAGTTTTTGAAATTTTCTTTTTTGCCAGTCTCCCAATAGCTGATTTTTCAGTAATAAGCTTAATTTACACACTGTAAGTGTTAATTACAATTCATTATAACATAACATACCCTATTGTTATTGACTGTTTTAGGTTGGCTATTAAGACATTTACTTTAGAGCATCTAAATTTGAATCTCTCTCTCTTCTAGAAGAATCAAATTGGAGTAGTCTGCCCTCTCGTTCTCTCTCTCTCAACCTGAAGAACCTCTACACTCCTCGCTCAGGCCAGCCCGTCACCTCCACTCCATCAGGACAGCAAGAAAACCCTCCCGTCTCCTTCCATGCTGAGTCCTACCTCAATCTGCTCAATCCAGCAAATGCAAGGAGTGATGCTGGAGTGGATGCAGCGAGAAAGGAAGTTGCTAAGCTAGAAACTCGGAATTCAACGGCACTTGATGAGAGGTGAAGACACATGACAGTAGCACTTAAATGGACACACACATATGTATTAATTTGTTTTAATCTGGAATCTTTGTTTTAACAAAGTTTTGTATACTATGTTTTGCAAAAAACATTTGCACAAAGCAAGCCGATCCAATTTTCCATGTTGATAAGAGCATTCAAATTTGAAAAAATAACGGGACAAAAAACAAATCAAGAGACATTTAGAATAGATAAAAATGTGTGATTTAATTGCAATTAATTGCAAGTTAAGACATTGATGCGATTAATCGCGATTAAATATTTTAATCGTTCAACAGCACTAGTTGAAAGTCAAAACAATTGCTCCTTTCCGAACTGTAATTTAAACATGCTGTCGGTTTGAACTGAAATTTGAGCTGTAACATCTGGACAAAATAATCACACAGTGTGTCAGTTTGTGGAACAGAGAAGAGCAGCACCAAAACAAACCCAGAAATTCAACAAAGTTAGTGAGATTCAGGCAATATGGGTCTCAGACTCTCCAAAATGTTACAAACGATTGAGCAGATGTTTATGTTTGTGAAAATTTTTACCACATTTGGCTGGTGTTTGTGTTTTCTAAAACTAGTTCACATAATCCCACCTCCTCTCTGACCTCCTCCTTTCCTCTCTCTTCCCTCTGCGTCCTCACTCCATACACAGACAGCAGACTTGTTGGAATGGATATTGGTTGTGAGCAATGTAAATAAATCTAATGAACGTGTATTAGAAGGCAAAGAGCAATTTTTTCCACTCTGTACTTCTGGCAGACAGGTTTCCTTGAACAGTAATGGAAAATTTTGACCTTTGTTTGCATACTGCGCATTCATTGCTCTCTGTGTGTGGTTAGCGTAAACAGTTGTTGAGCTTTGCAGCACACATTTACACTCAAACACATTTTTTCTCTATTACTTTTAGTGCTAGTTAGAGATGTTTTGTTGCTTTAGCTGTCTTGGTTAATTATTGGTTGTTTGTCTTAGATGGCTCAATTTTGTTCAGCAAAAAGAGTGAATGTGTGTTTTTATGTGAATATATATGTATGTATGTGCTTGCTTGTCGATTTGTGTGTGTCTGTGTGTGCTTGTGTCTTTAAATGTATTTAAGAGTACTGAATGTGTGCGTCTGTCTGGGAGAGTAATTTATTTCACAATTATCGGCGTCCCTGTGGGTAGCTGCAGTCTCTCGCCCACAGAAAACATTTATTTTCACACTTTATTAGAGATATTTAGATCTTGTAGAACACCACACACACACACACACACACACACACACACAAGCATACACACACACCTACTTATTTGTTTATATACTCTGACAACACTCACGGGGCCAGGGAGAAAATGAAAATGTACTCACCCCCATGTCATCCAAGATGTCATTCTTTTTTCAGTCGAAAATAAATTAAGGTTTTTGAGGAAAACATTCCAGGATTTTTCTCCATATAGTAGACTTTAACTGTTATCAACGGGTTGAAGGTCCAAATTGAAGTTCCAGTCCAGCTTCAAAGGTCTCTGCATGATCCCAACCGAGGAATAAGGGTCTTATCTAGCGAAACGATCACTCATTTTCTAAAAATGATAAAAATACATACATTAAAAAAATACAATACAACGACAAAAAGTTTTGCACTAGCCCTTCGATGCGCGTCCACTACTTCACATAGTCACGTTGGAAAGGACACACGTGATGTAGGCGGAAGTACCGACCCAGTGTTTACATTGCGAACATGCAAAGACTAAGTCAAACGCCCTTGACAATAAAAAGCTAAAACATCGATGGCGGACAATTTAGAAGTTGGAGGAGAAAATTAGATTTTGAACCAGAGTACACAGACAAAGAACTTAGACGGATGGGTGAAACTGTGTGTCAAGCGTAGGTGTAATTTGCAGGTGGGACATATTTGCCAGGGTTTATATTGTCACCACCACTTTTTAAACACCTCGTGGCATGGATGTACCAGTACAAATAAATAAAACATCTCCAGTTAACTCTAGCAGAGCATTCATTTAGTTCATTTGTTAAATAAGAAGTGATCTAACGCTGAAATGTGTTGTTTTTGAAATCAAATGATCAAAGTGTTCGTTGTCGCTGCTATCATTGGCACGGAATCGCGTATAAAGTGTTCTCACACGGATGCACACTTCAATCCGTTGCAGAGAGACTCTCTATTCATTACGGTGAAATCACAAAACAATACACACGAACGTGTCCCTGCTTGAAATATAACCACTGCTAAACAATCGGTTTTGAGGAGGGAAAAAAAATCTATACTACTTATTAGAACCCAAAACCTCTGACACGTTTGGCAAAAGTTCTGCCACTGGACAGTTAAAGTACATAGCCTATGTAAATAGTCTGATATATGTATTTATTCATATTCTATTCAAATTTATGAAAATTCTTGCCACTAACAACATATATTAGATCTCATTAAACGACAAATTAAACACGATTCCACGAAAATCGATTCCTCTGCTCTGGGTGGACAATTTACAGTCTATGAGTTGTATTTACAGTATACTCCCAAACTCTACTATACTCTCAAGGCCAGATGTACTAACGCTTTTGCGCCCACTTCAGACGTATTTGTTTTCGCAAAGTGCGCATAAAACCATGACGAGGTATGTACGAATGGGATGCACCGAGATGAAAGTGCAGACTGCCTGTCGTGGGAACTGAAAATGGCAAAATGCGCTTTTCGTGTGTCATGCATATAGGAGGGTCAAGGGGAAAGTGGGAGTGTCACATAAAGAGATGGGAGGGGAAGTGTAAACTGCGCCTAATTATGTATTCCACGTTTAATACAGAAAAATCGCGCCTCTATTTGCACTGAAAATTCTCTGCCTCTTAAAAGCAGGTGGAACTTAGGAAGCGGGTTTCCTATATGCCTCCTGGGAAACGGCAGCAGTAATCCGAGCAAGACGAAGACATATAGCCTGGTTAAAACCAGACCATCTCAGTTTGTAACTGAGTTATGGTCTGGCAAAGCTTCATACGCCTTATTCACGGCAGCGCCATCTTTGATTTTTAATGAGAATGAAAGCGAGGCTGTGAGGGATAGACTTGCATCTCTTCAATGGGCTGTACTGTTATTAAATGTGTTTTCGGATTGTTCTGCTCATGAAACACTGGAAAAATATCTTTGCAAGAAATGTCAGTTAACAAAAAACTCCTGACAATGTAAGCTGTGGAAAATTGTAAGTAATCTAGCCGCTTTATTCAGCTTTTTACAGCGGATGCCATTGGAAACACGGTAAGTCTATCCCTCACAGCCTCACGTTCATACCTGTCATGGCGCTGCTCTGAATAAGGTCTATAGACAAATCATTTCCAAAGGGGCGTCACCAACGGACGTAGCTCAAATGCCTCAAAGGCGCAATTGGATAGACCTAAAACCAATCAGAGCGCTGAAGGAGATGACGTTTGTCTGTTTGTTCGAACAGACAATCTGATTAGCTACTTGCTCTACGTTTATTTAAAATTAACAGCAAGACAATTATAAGTGAATGTGCTTTCCATTATAAGTGAATGTGCTTTCCAAAACTTTGCACACACAGTAAACAAAACAAAACTTTGCAACGAACTTTGCCATTTAGACACGCAAACTGTGTGCCAGTATGGTGAGACCTCACTGTCTATGGGTGAGACGTACATGCTCGGGCAGATTCGACTTGAAGTCGTTCATCCTCGGACGCGGCGCCGCTACAAAAAAAGCCATGCACACAGCTAAGGGAAATGGGGTCGGTCTTGCGCACCAAACGCGTCAATTTTGCCGTGCACCTTCGCGCTCGTGCGGACGCGTCGAGTATAAACAAGGCTGTACTCCATGTCAGCGCGCTCTCTGATCGGTAAAGGTGCACAGACCTCTCCCGAATCATCTCCAGCAATAGCAGTCTCTGAAGCACCACTATCTTGGCCTCCGTTTCCTTCGTAAGCTGATATTAGTATTTAAACATTCTCTCTGATAAAAAATGTTTGTGAAAAAAAATATTTTAATAACATGGTTTTGGCGGTTATAGAGTTCTAATGACAGTGTTCAACTTACCGTCACACCCCTTTGTAAATGTACAAAATCTGCGTCGCTGTGCTGTCGTCATTGTGTAAAGCCCGCCCCAACGTTTCTGATTGGTGCCGCGATTTCGGCAGATTGGAAATGGCCTTGAATGAGCTCTTTGCCAGACTAACGGTGCGTTCCATTTGACAGGGTCCCTACGCAGTGTTCACTGCTCCCTACTCCCTGAACACGGTGTATCAGTTGAAGTGGACTTCACCGACTTCCTGTGAACTGATGTATTGATGTTCCCTTATTCCCTATGCCGTTTGCAGTGCCCTTCGAACTGAACAAGTTCGTTCCGTTCGAATTGGAATCTCACTTAAGATGGCGAAATACACTTTCCACTTCGCAGTCCACTTACGGTCAAATGGAACGCATCTTAATAACTTTCAGAGCAAATCTAAATTTGCCGGAAGTTGTCTGGGTTTTTTCCAGGCTAGAAGACAGGCTATGGAGCTGAAAAGTTTTTTGCCACAAGAATCACACTTTTTCAGTTGAGTGAAAACAAAATCATTAAGTGTTACAGATTAAGCAGCTACGGAATATTACAGTTACTGGAAGAAATCAACGGCCTTGTATGATGTTTAAATTTGCAGTTACCTCATGAACAAGCAGATCAACCTCGTTATCGCTACATTTTTGTTTGCGTTGTTTTGCCTGACTTGTGTGGGGACAGGTGCTGATTACCTGATCAAGAGACATTTAGAATAGAATATAATAGGTTTATTAAATAACACGCACACTGCGGTTTCGCATCAAGCACTTTCTGCGTCTTGGCCATGGCACTACTTACGCTGCGTTCGCAAATGTAGATCATCTATGTGTGTTTGTGTGTGCTGAAGCTCAGTGTGTGTCCAGCAGTGACTCCTCACTATGACTCATAATGGTTTTATGCACCTGCCCATCAATTGTTAATTAATCAGTCACTCTTGGTGTTAATATCAGT